GATGTACTGGGCCTGCTCTAGATTGGCTTTGAAAAATAGTAAAGTGTCATCCGCAAATAAAAGGTGTGAAATACCAGGAGCTCTTGGGCATACCTTTAAAGCTTGGATACTTTGGTTCTCTATTCCTTGCCTCAATAAGGCAAACAATCCATCTGCAACAAAGAGGAACAAAAACGGCGAGAGGGGGTCCCCTTGTCATAGCCGACGGTGCAAACGAATCCAAGATGGCTCCATTAAATTTCACAGAGTATCTCACTGAGGTCACACACGTCATGATCCATTGAACCCATTGGTGAGCGAAGCCTAACTTTTGCATCGTTTGCTCCAAGAAGACCCAATCCACACAATCATAAGCTTTTGATAAATCCAACTTATAAGCGCAAAAGCTATTTTCCTTTTTTTCCTCATGTTGCATGAAGTGAAGGCACTCAAAAGCCAAAAGGGCATTATCTGTAATCATATGTCCTGGTACAAAGGCACTTTGCTACGGAGATATGATCTCATCCAAGATGGGTCGCAATCTATTAACCAAGCACTTTGCAACAATTTTGTATATGACGTTACATAGACTTATTGGCCTAAAGTTAGACACACGGACTGGATCATTTACTTTTGGTATAAGAACGATTACCGTGTCATTTACTCCCTCTGGCATTACTCCTGTCAAAAGAATTCCTTGGCTGCACAGATGACTTCCTCTTTCAAAACAAGCCGGTTCCTCTGAAAAAAGCGAGCTGGGAAACCATCACTACCCGGAGCCTTAAGCGGTCCAATCTGGAAGAGGTTGTTAGATATTTCCTTCCCAGTGAAATCAACGCAAAGTTTTAGGTTCATATAATGAGTTACCTTCGGTTGCACTAGCTGTACAAGGGTTGCCTGGTCGAGAGTATTGTCACATGTAAAAAGATTCTGGAAAACGCATCAACCAGGCCACCCATCTCTTTTTTTTCTCAACTCTAGTACCTAATTCATCAAATAGGAACTTCACTTTATTTTTTTCTTGCTCTCCAAACTGCCTGCTGGTGAAAAAAAATTGTGTTGCGGTCTCCTTCACGCAACCAATCAATACGTGACCTTTGCAACCACATGATTTCTTCCTTGTACATGAGATCATTCATATGGTCTTGTACAGCCTGTATTTCATTTCGATCAGCATTCATTCTCAACAACTCCTCCAGCCTTGTTCTAGACTTCTTGAGTTCACATACCACACTGTCGAATCTAGATTTGCTCCATACATGTAGCTCAACCATCAATTCACACAGGCCACGGCGAATATCACCCAGGTTTACCTTTGCCCCTGCATTTGCCCATGCATTTTGAACTCTCTCCGGTAGGCCGCTATCAGTCTCCCACATGATCTCGTACCGTCTCTGGCTTGGTTTGATATCCAGCTTCTCTTCTTTTATGCACTTTAACACCACTGGACAGTGGTTCGAGCAAGGACTGACATTGTGTACAACTTGTGTCTCCGAGAAGATGTCCCGCCATCGGTTGTCTGCCACAGCCCGGTCAAGGCGAACTTTAACATTTCGATGTCCAGCTTGCTTATTGTCATAGGTAAAAGGCACACCCGAAAAACCCAAATCTGACAACTCACATATCTCCAAGGTATCTCTGAAGGCCAGCATCTGTCTTTCTCCACGTTGTGAAACTGAAAGGTGTTCGAAAGACCACATGGCTTCATTGAAGTAGCCAATCACACACCATGGTAATGGAGACTTTGTTTTTAAGTTTTACAATTTTTCCCACATCAAGTGACGGTTTTCCACCCTTGGCCCACCATACACACAGGTCAAGTGCCAAAGTGGATCATTATCATACACACGGACGTACGCATCTATATATCTTTCATTTACTTCTTGAACATCAACAAATATTTGATCACTCCAAAAGAGGGCTAGTCCCCCACTCAAACCATTACTATCACATCCTGCAAAACCTCTCAGACCCAGTCTACCTCTTAAACGACGCACTTTTTCAGCTTTAACTCTAGTTTCACACAAAAGACCAAATGTGCAATGTCAGTCCTCGCAAGTCCCACCAACTCCCGAACTGTTGGTTTGTTGGCCGCGCCGCGACAGTTCCAACTTAGGCAATTGATTGCTCCTGACGGGGCGCCACATTCGGCCATGTCGGGTCACCGGCAGCCCCTGGGCCGGTTGCTTCCTGCTTCATAGATTGGTCCTCTATCCCTGCGGATGTGCGTCCATTCGCCACCACCTTGACCCTCGTCTGATCACCACCTGCCATAACCTCTGCATAAATAACAAATGCCCTGTCTTGCTCCTTTTCTACCTCTGTATACTTGCTCAGAACCAAGTCAGCAACGTTCATCTCCATGTATCGGCTGCACAAGTAGGTAGCCATCTCTACCGAGTACCTTAACTGTTGCAGATCAGCCATGCGCTCTTTGTCCAGTGCTCCTCTCACCGGTACAACAACGTAAGGCACAAGGGCCTTCGCCGCACCCGGACTCTGTTTGGCGTCAGCGACAGCAGGTACGCAAGGGGTCACGGTTGCGTGTTCCACGGGTTCCCCATCAACCGACTTCGGGCGGCATCCACAAGGGGAGCCCCATGATCGCCCCCACCGGCCTTCGGGTTCGCCGCAGAAGCACCCGGCTCGATCTTCACATGCAACACCGAGAGTGCCATCGCCTCCTCTCCCTTCATCTCCACGAAACTGTATTCAAGGGGCTCGAGCGACGGACGGACGGACATAGCCGCGACGGAGCCGTAGTACGTCTTGGCGACGCACACGGGAACATTGCGAGCGGCCGCGAGGCCGGGGCCAGGCAGCGATGGCGGCAAGGGCGTCGCCCCTGAGTCGCCAAACCCTAACATCGCTTGTCAGGTAGATGGGTCTTGTAATTGCCGATTTCCTTCAGAAAAAGGAACAGTTCTTATAAGAGCCAACATCAACATTAAAATCGCTTTTATATTATGGGACGGAGGAAGTATTTCATTTGTCCGTTAAAACTACCAAAAAACGGAAAAATCTCATGTCCGGTTTGCACTATTCATTCATAGATTTTGACCGCCATGCCCCCACAGAAAATCACTACTAGTACAAATTAGTCTAGCGTTTGCTTAACGAACTTTTCTATTCCCTTTGCCATTTCTGCGGAGGAGACCACGACATGTCACCATCATGAGAGAAGCAGAGCATAGGGAATCAGAACAGAGCACGCACGCACGCACCTTCGCAGCGCACAACGGCAGAATATACTACTACTAGCGCACAGAACGGGCAGGCGGGCGGGTAGGCAGAGTCAACGGCCCAAGGAGGCGAGGAACGGTCGCGGCTCCGCTCCTGGATTCTGGCTAACAGAACCGGTAAACTAATAAACAGCCCTCCCCGTCGCCGTCACCCGTCCATCCGTCGCGCATTTCCAATCCCTCACAATCACATTCCCGAATTAACGGCCCCTCCCACCCCCCTTACGCGCTCCCCGTCGCGCCTCCCCCTAAAAATAGCCAGATCTCGCGCGGGGGGGCGGCGCGCCTCCGAGCTCTCCTCCCTCTTCGCCGCGGTGCTCCAAGAAGGCGCTAATCGATCCAATCCAATCCAATTAGTTCTTCTTCCCCTTTTCCGCGGTTAATTCGATCTGCGCTGCGCAAGTCTCGTTTCGCTTTTGTTCGATTGCGATCTCTCCTCTCCCCGTCCCCGTGGCGTCGTTTTCGTCTTACCCCGCCCACCCGCGCGGTTGATTCCTTTGCTGTTTGTTCCCATCTGAGAGCGGACGAGCTTGCGTCCGTCGGCGGGAGGTGGGTGGATAGATAGAAACAGAGGCGGCCGAGGATCGCCATTACGGGCCAAGCCGATCGGGCGTCACGCCACGCGCCCGGCTTTAAATCCTGCCCCCGCTATCCATCCATCCCATGGGCGGACACGGGACCGATCCGGGCCACCTCCTCCTCTCCGCGCTCCGGGCCTAGACGCATTCTTCTTCGCTGCGATCTAGCGGAAAGGGGGGAGATCGGTCGGCCGATCGATCCGTCGGCCGGGTAGGAAGATGAACTCCCTCACGGCCACCGGCAGCAGCAGCGGCGCCGGCAGCAGCGGCGGCGTGGAGATGCGGGGGGCCGACGGCGAGGGGTACCTGCGGGCCGACGGATTCGACCTCGTCAACCTCGACATGCAGCTGGAGAAGACGCGCTCCAGGGTCTGGCTGGATCAGCAGCGGGGCGCGTCCCCCGCGCAGCCCGGGGAGCTCCTCGAGTGGGAGATCGACCTCGCCAAGCTCGACATCCAGAACCAGGTCGCCAGCGGCACCTTCGGCGTCGTCTACCGCGGCACCTACGACGGCAACGACGTGGCAGGTGAAAATCAAACATGCTCCCCCCTCGATAGTCTGTCATATGTAATCATGTGCCTGTTCTAGTAGTCTGTTTCACCTAATTGCCATCTCCTTCATAGGATTTTTCTTCTCTCAAAGCAATTTAGGATGGTGAGATATCTGTGTTGCTTGGTTTGCAGCCCCTGATCCACAAGCCTTCTCACCCAAAAAGGAAAAAATCCCAAGCCAAGGCCAAATCTTAGCTAATGATTGTATTGCGGTCATATCATTGACTTGCCCATTTCACGTTGCCTATCTCTTCCCAGCCTATTGAGGCAACTAGTTCATAGTAAAAGTTGTCAGACGTTGGCAAGTTTTGACATTGCAAATCTTGACTTGCCCATCGCCAAAAAATGAAACATTGGGGCTGCAAACCAAGCACACCCTTAATACTCCCATGTTATCAACAATATTGGGGCTGCGCACACAATTGATCGTTATGAAATTGCAAGGATGTTTCTATGATATAAATCTAGTGATACACTTGTCCAAATAAGGTTTCATAAGTTAATGTTCAAAATTATATTGAACGTGTTTTAAGACATAGAATGTATAAGTTAACAAATTGGTAGAAGAGAGATTGATGGCAGTACCTTGCTATCGCTATTGGTAGAGGAGGTGGAGAAGGTGATGGGGAGCATGTCGGTATACTAGGACCATGGTTGGGTACCAGTTTTGTCGTTGTGAAGGTAGTAGCCATTGTGGAGGGGGCGGAGAAGGTGACGGGGGGAACATGTCGGTATACTAGGAATATGGGTGGGTGCCAGTTTTGTCGTTTTGAAG